GCGACCGGCGATTCGTAATGAGGGTGAGTTAGCCCTCGGGGCGTGATTTTTAATTTTTTCATTTTTTGAAAAATTTCCACTTGGAAAATTTTCAAAAAAAATTCACCAATCGCGCAACAATGGGAATTTCCAGGAGAAGTGAACAGAGCTGGCGTGTGGCGTCCTCCCTCTTATGGGGTAAGGTACTACAATGCCGCTGGGGTCAGTGAAACCCCCAGAACTGAGCCTCTACTTACATCAATCCTCTTTGGTCTAACCTATAATCTCTGATATCATTTCCGGTCTGGGGCCCTTGGGACTTCGTCTCCTCTCCGTTGTCATACCTTCCGTTCTGCTGGCAATATCCCGGGTGCGGTATATTGGTGTAATTTTGTCGAGCATCCGATGGTCCACGCAGAAACAGATAATCCAAGTGCCAAAATGTCTGAGGAGACGGTGGAGGTGGTTTTGGCCTCTCAGGAGGAAGAGAAGGTGCACTTCGCAGCACCAGCCATTCAGAATAACACCGATGGCTGGGGACCTTGTGAATTGCCAGATCAATTCAAGGATATACCCTACCAGCCGTTCTCCAAAGGGGACAGGCTTGGAAAGGTAAGGGTTTATTACCAGTCATTCTGACAGTTTAATGATCGACCACTAATCCTGTTTTTTTTCCAGATATCTGACTGGACAGGCTCTGCTTTCCAGGACAAGAAATTCACAAGTGAGTCGTTTTTATCATTCAGACCTCTCTAACCTTAAAATCGGGGATTCTATCATCTATTTCGAAGTGGCCATTAGACTTTGGGCATTTTGGAGATTTTTTAGGTTGTCGATGGGTTTGGACCACACAATACCCTTTTTTTCATTTATTGAAGATAGGAAATATTGAAAAATCGTGGGGATTATCGTTGACTCCAGTTTTCAATTCATTTTATTGAAAAATTAGTCATTTGCTGTAGAAATCTCTAACGAATGGGATTTTTCACGGTGTAATGCTGATTAAGATGATGATTGCTTTCCAATTCGATAAAGGGCAGATGGAATAATGAATTCAGTGTGTTAATTTTATCTTCGTCTTTTCCTCAGACAAATACACATCGCAGTTTGGCTCCGGAAGTCAATACGCGTATTATCACGATGAGGATGAGTCAACGTTCCACCTGGTGGACACTACTCGCGTCCAGAAGCCGCCGTATCAACGCGGTCGTTTTGGCAAGAACCAGAGGAATATGAGGGGTCGTGGGGGTCAGAGGGGTGGTATGAACCAGATGCAACAGCTGGGAAAGCTGAAGCTCCGGGAGCGTGAGCGCAAGGGTCAGACGAAACGCTGGGGTCGTCAACAGGGACTGCGAAATCACAAGAATCAGCCTCCAATTAAAATTCGCGACGCCTCTGTCACCGTACGTCCTGACTGGGTCACCATCGAGGAGATGGACTTCCCACGTCTAGCCAAACTCTCTCTTCCTGGTATCAAGGACGCCGACGATGTCCTCTGCTGTGGCTCCCTCGAGTACTACGACAAGACCTACGATCGAGTCAATGTCAAAAATGAAAAAGCTCTACAGAGAATCGATCGCATATTCCATACTGTCACCACCACTGACGATCCAGTGATTCGTAAACTCTCCAAGACCGAGGGCACTGTTTTCGCCACTGATGCCATCCTCGCCACCATCATGTGCTGCACCAGGAGCAATTACTCCTGGGACATCGTCATCGAGAAAATCGGTGACAAGTTATTCTTCGATAAAAGGGATAACACGGAGTTCGATCTTTTGACAGTTAATGAAACAAGCGTTGAGCCACCTCAAGACGATGGGAATTCTCTGAATTCCCCCAGGAATCTTGCACTCGAGGCAACATTCATCAATCACAACTTTTCCCAGCAGGTACTCAAGGCCAGCGAGAACAGGTACAAGTTCGAGGAGGGAAATCCTTTTATCGGTGAAGAGGAGGAGGTCGATGTGGCGAGTGTTGCATATCGCTACAGAAAATGGGATCTCAACAATGGGATCACTCTGATATGCAGGTGCGAGCATGACGCTGTGATGCAAGGGCCCAATGGTGAGACCCAATTTCTCACGATTAAAGCTCTCAACGAGTGGGACTCGAAGCTCGCTAATGGTGTGGAGTGGAGGCAGAAGCTGGATACCCAGCGAGGAGCAGTTCTGGCCAATGAATTGAGGAATAATGCATGCAAATTGGCCAAGTGGACTGTCCAGGCCATTCTCGCTGGCTCTGATCAGCTCAAATTTGGGTATGTCTCCAGGGCCAGTGTCAGGGACTCCAGCAAACACGTCATCCTGGGCACCCAGCAGTACAAGCCCAATGAATTTGCTACCCAGATTAATCTTAATATGGATAATGCCTGGGGAATCCTTCGTTGCATCATTGATATTTGTCTTAAGCAGAAGGATGGAAAGTATCTCATCATGAAGGATCCCAATAAACCCATGATTCGACTCTACGATATCCCTGATAATACATTCGAGAGCGAGGGTGAGGAGGACGAGGACGAGGATGAACCTGTCAACGATGCTTTTCAGAATTGAATTCCCTAAGTTCATGCAACTGGCACTCGTAATGAATTCCTTCAACTTATAATCATTTCAATTATCTTGTGTCTGATTTTTGTAATAGAAAGATGCATTTTCAGTGATGAGAATAAATCAATTGGATTGCATATGTTGATGTCTCATTGGATAAATTATTTTTTTTTATTCCTGAGAATTATTGGAGTAGGATTGGTAAATGAATTCTGAGATTGTGACTATAAGGAAACAAATTGGCTATTATATATTTTCGAAGTCGTACCGACGACTTTCCTATCACGAGTTTTTCAACGAGTCGATAAACATTCTGAAGTCGAATGAGTCATTACGTATAATACAGTTGGAATACGATTACAATAATTGAGAGAACCCATCGCTGGGCAGTTGTAAACAGCATAATTACATTCGTTGAATGTACAGTTTTTTCTCGAGTTCACAAGCTATAATGTTTTCCTTGTTCTCCTTATTTTTGACGATGAAATTGAGAGTCTCGTTAAACTTTGGATCCATCTGCTTTATGACGTATCTGATCTTCCTCTGGGCAGCTCTGGCTCCCTCCTCGGTGATATCGAGATGAAATACGAGCCTGACCATCCTGGGTCGCACAGCCCATGCCAACACCCTGATCTGATCGTCCTCATGATCGTCCTCAATCTCTCCAAGTCGTTTAGCAAATTTCGGTGCTGTTACCTCATCGGTCTCCTCAACGCTGATCCAAGCCATGTTGGTCTGTGCATCGATGGGATGAATTTTGAAAATATCAGACTCAAGTTCGTTGACAGCTTTCATCATTGCAGCAACTTTCACCTGCTCTTTGTCGATTTTAGGGAGATTTTCGAGGGCAACGAGAGCACAAGCTGTCAATACTCCAATCTGACGCATTCCACCACCGAGAACTTTTCTCATTCTCCTCGCCTGGGTGATGAATTCCCTGGATCCACAGAGCATTGATCCAACTGGTGCACCTAACTTACTCAGACAGAAGGTGACTGAGTCAAAGCCGTCGACGATGTCTCTGATTGGTGTTCCACCGATTATCGAGGCGTACCAGATCCTCGCACCGTCCATATGCAGCTTCAATCCGTGCCTTTTTCCAAATGCCACTGCTTCTCTGATCCATTTCAAGGGGAGTATTTTTCCATTGTGAGTGTTCTCCACAGCTAGCATCCGGGATATCGAACTGTGGACGTTGGCCGGGTCCTTCAGTCTCAGTCTCACCTGCTTCAAGTCGAAGGTGCCATCGGGATTGTTGGGGATGGGGCAGATTGTGACGTTTGCTATCTGGGCAGCTGACCCCTGCTCGTGGTGAACCATGTGGGCGTCTTGACCCAGAAACATCTCACAGCCACGAGTATTGCAGTGTACCATTGCTATTGAAATTAATCAATCGCATTTGTTAATAATAAACAGAAGATTATAAAGACCATAATTGCGGTAATTTACTACGGGAGTTATTGGAGAATTTCTCTGAATCCGACAGGTACAGCCAAATTTTTTGTAGACCCGTTTTTGTCGAGTTTAATTTTAGCTACAAAAAAGGCCTCGATGAAAATTTTCCTAGATCTTTCCGATTCGCGAGATATTCTTGAAAAAACTCGAGGATTTTATTCATGGGAATTTTACTCACTGGAAAGCAAGTTCCCCATGGTTCCACTCGATACAAACAGCGCAGCTTGCTTCCCCATTAAATCTGCGACGTATTCTTCCAGTCCTGAGGAAAAAAATCACATGAAAATATTATTAATATTTTCAAACATCGAAAAATTGAGGAACTGAAAGAATCGACAACTTTTCTCCATCGTAACTCAATGAAAAATTTACTTTTAGTCGTTGGATCCTCATGATAGACATCATCACCAACTTCCGCGTCGAACATAGCTTGTCTCATGACGCGACATGGTTTCGTCACAGTATCACTGCGAAAATCAACAGTGATCACCTGGAAGGCAGAGTAATAATCGTAAAAATAGGAACACATTCTTCGTCAACAATCGATATAAATTAGTAATAAATAATTACATGTCCCCCGTAATTTTTCTCAGTCTGTGCACTTCCGTAAGACATATTTCCAGTAACAAAATTAATCGTGTCGATGAGCCGATGAAGCTCGTGTCAAGTCAATTGTTCTACTGCATCATCAAAACAAAGAATACTTATATACTCTCGAATCTCCAGCGAATTTTCCTCTTCCTTCAATGCCAAGCTGATAGGACGCAGCCTATTAGATACGATTGCTAATACATTCTCATCAATATCTCATGACATAACACGTGTTAATCCCGGAAAATGTTGTACTGGGACCAGACAGAATCATGAGAGGTAAAAAATAAGGGGAAACCCAGGTGGGAACAATCGTACTTCACTCCGATAATGAGAATTCAATATCGCGATGAGATATTTTGGAACACCGGAGTTCCCAGCGGCGTCTTAATCTCAAAAATTTCTTTTTAGATGCTTGTCTCATCCCTATCTTGGGCTATTCGTGATGATCAGTCCAGAGGATTTACCGCTGGAACACTAGATTTTCTGTCAAATTCAAATTAATTCTCTGTAACTATTTATCGCTGTTCTTTCCTGCTTGTGCACTTCCGCACAACTTTGTATGAACCAGCGTCATTCATTACCAAGATTGTCTACGGAAAGGAAATACACTTTGGAGGTCGGGGTAAAGGTAAATTTAATTGTAAAACAGCTGGAGAAAAAAATTTATTTCAATTTATTCAAAAATTTATTGAACCATCGATTGCAGTATTTTTGTTACTAAATATTCAAATTGTCCTGTCAAGGTTCATTATTTCTCCATGTTCTCAAAAATTCCACAACATTTTTCCAAAAACCCTAGATCTTCACTTAAATCTTTCCATTGAGTAATCATTGCTGCTCGTGATTATCAAAATATTTAGAATTAAAGTAAAATGAAAGAAGGGCGAATTTATCGGAGTTGAGGAAAATGAAGATGCTCTTGTTTTTCTTTATTACATCAGAATTGGAATTCAACATAATTTTCCTTAATGAGAAAATAAATTTACTGATAGCTGTGGGGTCTTCCTGGTATATATCATCCCCGACTTGAACATCAAACATTGCTTGTGTCATTGCGAGACATGGTTTTGTGATAACGTCTGTGCGTAAATCAACAGTTATCATCTGAAATGAAAAACATAATGGAAATAAAAAATTCCTGAGATAGCAATTACTTTGCTATCAGAATACTATTCGTGCAGTTTCAAGTCAAAGAATTTCACATTCTGTCTACCTAATTTCAAATGATCATTTTATTAATTTATTGATAATAGTGTGTATTTTGTTAATGTTGATAATAACGAGCAATTTGAAATCTCCGGAGATTCCCTCCAGTCTCATCTTGATAAAAATATCCCGGAATTATCTCCAGATATCAGAGGATATCGGAAATAGCAACTAAATTCTCGGGAAAATGGGATAGTAACTAATCAATAATTGTATTCTTTAATTGTTCAATGAATTTTTTCATCCCTGCAGGTATTACAAATTGTCAAACTATTTATGTATTATTTCCTTTATTTTTATCAAAAAGTGGAATACATTTTTCCAATAATCGCAGTCTCATCGTACTTTTTTTCAGTCACTCATGAGTCCTAAGGAATATGGCATGGATAATTAATTCAATGAATTCGGATTAATTTCACTAATTCTTCTGGAACTTAGGATCCAGCTTCCTGATAATATATCGAATCTTCCTCTGGGCAGCACTGGCCTCCTCCTCGGACACATCGCAGTGGAAGGAGAGCCTAACAGTCCTGGGTTGTACAGACCATGCCAATACTCTGACCTGATCGTCCTCGTGATCGTCCTCAATTTCTCCAAGTCGTTTAGCAAATTTCGGTGCTGTTATCTCATCTGTCTCCTCAACGCTTATCCAAGCCATGTTGGTCTGTGCATCGATTGGATGAACTTTGAAAATATCGGACTCAAGTTCGTTGACAGCTTTCATCATTGCGACAGCTTTCACGTGATCTGCGGTGAGCTTGGGAAGTTTTTCGATGGCAACGAAGCCACAAGCTGCCAGTACTCCAACCTGACGCATCCCACCACCGAGAACTTTTCTCATTCTCCTTGCTTGAGTGATGAATTCCCTGGATCCGCAGAGCATTGATCCAACTGGTGCACCTATCTTACTCAGACAGAAGGTGACTGAGTCAAAGCCCTCGACAATGTCTCTGATTGGTATTCCACCGATTATCGAGGCGTACCAGATCCTCGCACCGTCCATGTGCAGCTTCAATTTGTGTTCTTTGCTAAATGCCACTAGTTCTTTCAGCCACTGCAGGGGGAGAATTTTTCCATTTATCGTGTTCTCTACGCTGATAAGCCGAGAAATGGGGTGGTGATAGTTTGAGGGGTCCCTCAACTTCAATTTCAGTCTCTTCAGGTCAAATGTTCCATCGGGATTATTCGGAAGCGCGCACACTGTGATGTTCGCTATCTGGGCTGCTGATCCCTGCTCGTGGTGCACGATGTGCGAATCCTCGCCGACGTATATCTCACAGCCTCGGGTATTGCAGTGCACCATCACTTAAGAATTAAAAATTCAACAGAGCGATTAAGTTTTCTCTGATAATTCTGGGGAATTTGTAATCGAACTCTAGAGATTCTGCTTTAATTTCATGAAAAGTCAGAAACCGAAAACTGAAAATTCTTTAGATTTTATTCATCAACTTCTAGAGAACCATCTAGAGTACAATAGAATGATTATTATTAATTTGTCGAATTATTATTAATTTGTCGTTGACTTATTATTCATTTCGGAAAAACTCACTGGCGACGAGATTTCCCATCGTTCCACTCGTTATAAATAGTGAGGCCTCCGTTCCCAGTAATTCTGCGACGTATTTCTCTAATCCTGAATTAATCAATATGGATTACCGGAAATTATAGATTGAATGTTGAAATAATCTAGTAGTGAAGGTTGGAGAATTTCCACGTACTCTGGTAATTTTTTATGTTAGCGAATAACTTCACAAGCAACCGATTTCTTCGGAGAAATAAAAAATTATTTACTAATAACTGTTGGATCCTCATGGTATACATCATCCCCGACTTCTGCCTGGAACATAGCCTGCCTCATGGCCTGACATGGTTTGGTGAACGTGTCACTGCGTAAATTGACAGTCATCACCTGGAGAAAAAAATTCCAAAAATTGAAGAATATTCTAATTGCCCGTGACGGAACTTACCTCCTTCACATCGCTTTTTCCCTCCGGAGCTCTGGACGACATCTTCCTCAATCCGCCTGATAACAAATGAATGCCAGCTAAATGGACAGATCAGCCTTCACTTTTACGCTATCAATAAAATTACATAACTCTGAACACGAAATCATTTCCACATAAATCATCATCGCACCATCATGAATCATTGCACATAATGCGAAATCCTTTTTGGTGTGGATCAAGAATTATAGTAAATTGTACCTTAATTGGCTGATTGCCGTCAGCACGAGGTATTTATCGACGAAATGGGGTGGATCACACGATCGGATCAATGAAAATCTTCATGTCAATTTACCTCCCCCCACCCCAATTATTACGTTTTATTCCGAGGACATGGAGGAGATGATTCTATATTTGGAAAAAATCTCCAGGAAATGTATTGCACTCTGCGGAGGATGAAATAAATCATAATCAATAGTAAGTCGTGGGCGCAATAATTGACTCGCTCTCGCTATTATTTATTCTTATTTAGAAAATCATTGTTATTATTTATAATAATCCTATAAGAGTCTCAATTACCTTGTACGGATGTAGCTAGTATTGCTTGACATACATTTATTTACGTCATGACGAAATAAAGTCAACGTGAATCACCAGCAGATTTTAATTGATTATACGTTTACGTTTGTTTACTTATTTTTTAAAAATTTGCTGGCTTCAATTTGGTAGTGATTGCTTTATAGTATTCAAATATCGAGATGAGAACGTAATTGCTAGGCTAGAGTGCGTAATCTTCAGTGAATTTTAATTACAAACTACTGCGCAGGTCAGTCGATTGATTTGAAATGGCCCCGCCGTTTTGAAATCGATTGATTCTGCGCTCTGCGATTCTTTCGATTGGATTCATGATCAATTGATCGATCGTGTGTTGCGGGTATTTTTAGCGGAGGTAATGAGGTTTGGGACTTCTTTTGGTGAACACGTTTCACCGAGTTGGGAAAATTAGGGGTATGATTCATCGCCTTCTGGTACCTTGAAGATTGTGGGTCATCGTGTTTCGCGGAGTTGGGAATTGTTGAAGAAAATTATTATGATTGTTATGACAAAATAGCAAAATTTTTTAAATTCTGTTTTGACAATTTTGAGTTCTAATATTATTTTCACGGTGAATATATCAATCAATGATCAATGATCAATGATTATTCAGCGGTAAAGTTCCGTTTTAGGAAAAGAAAAAATTTTTACCCCCAGCCCAGCACCCAGACCTATGACTATCAGGAAAGGAAAGTAATTTTTTGGAATTTTTCCACCAACTAACTGTTAATTTGGCATTTATTCCCTCCATGAAAGTAAATATGTTGCAAAATAATTTTTCCTTGTTTAGCCTTTGCGAACATTCCAATATCATCTAAACAAAAAATATCATCTGTCACCTACTTTTCCTCCCTCAAATCCCAAAATCCGTTGCGCAGGCTCTCAATAATAATTTTTTTTTTCAAACCTTTTTGAAATACTCCCGCGCAAATGTGAACCGCGGGTTCCATTGCGAACAGACCGTTCCGTCGGCACGTCAGCGGTGTAAAACGCCGTAGACAGATAGGCGGGGCGAAAGAGAAGTCAGGAGAGTGGCCCCAGTGCGTGTGTTGTAACGAACCAAACGGTTGAAAAAGCCCGAGCGAGACAACGCGAGTGTTTCAATATCCGAAGTGAAAACCCAAATGGGGGTAACAGGAGAGTGAGAGTAACAGGACAAACTGGGGAGCAGTAGTTTCGGTGAAGTAGTTGTGTATCAGCGGTTCGTGCAAGTGGAGTCTAACGGAGTAATAAATATACATGTGCGGCTGAATAATAATAATCAAAGGGCCCAGGGAGTTGTTTTCGCATTATTGTATGTCGAGAGCCGACGAATTCCGTTGGTTGACGACCACTCGTGTTGCTGGATTAATTCGATAATCCAATATAAATAATAGGAAAAAAAAAGAGCATTGGGTAATCGAAGGGGGAAACGAAAAAAATTTTCGATCGTTTGAAGAGAGAGAGGCACGTTCTGCTCGGCAAGATCCTTTATTATTGTGTTTTATTCCTCGGGAAAGTGGAAATAAAATCGCCCAACGGGGGAATTAAAAAAAAAAAAGAATCAGGACGCATTGTGCGGTTACCAGCGCTAAACAAAAATGGCGGACGGTGATTCGAGGGTAGACCGGTCTGATCCGGAGCTACGATACTTATCTGTGGATAGAAATAATTTTAATGATCCAGCGACTCAGGCTGAATGGACACAGAAGAAATTAGTTTGGGTGCCACATGAGACACAGGGTTTTGTCGCTGCTGGGATTAAGGGCGAGAGGGGTGATGAGGTCGAAGTGGAAATTGCTGAGACCGGTAAACGTGTGCTCGTTGCTAAGGATGATATACAGAAGATGAATCCACCCAAGTTTGATAAGGTTGAGGATATGGCTGAGCTCACTTGTCTCAATGAGGCGTCTGTACTTCATAACCTCAAGGATCGGTATTACTCCGGGCTCATCTATGTGAGTAACAATGGAAATTTTATTTGAGGGATTAGCACGAGAATCGAGAGAGACAGCTGCGTTTTTGTCAGGACCTTTTTTGTAGTCCTGATTCTACTGGACAAAAAAACGTCCTTACGAAAATTGAAACTCGTCCTTTTGAGTTTTGGGGGAACATCTCGGAAGCTGATGAATACAGCTGAATTTTTGTTGAAAGTTGGGACATGTTGCTAAAACATGCTTGGAAGATGTCCTGAGAATATTTCTTGAAAACTCAAATAGGGAATGAGTCGATTTATTGCTCTCCAATGGTGGACTGATGATTCGTTTTTTGGGTATCATTGGGGATTGTTATGTGGGGGAGGTGATGGGGGAGATTTTATGCAAAGTAATGCCGCAATGCTGGAGATTCCCGACCTTACTCTCCCCCAGTGACTTTAACTCTTTTAACCAGCGATCATCTCCTCGGTATCGCCGTTGCTAATCACTCGCCGGTATGCACGAATTGTTTTGGGTTTTAATGTGGGAAAATCCTATTGTTTTTCCACTATCAGCGTCCAAAAGAGATAGATCTTCAAAATGAGCCCAAATTCATAGAATATCACTGTACCAATCTCACGTAATGAATTAATGAAGATTGAGTATTTTTCTTTGCTCTGTTGCCATTGAGTCCAACATCGGTGTTGGGTTTCGCGTAATATCTCGGGACGCAAGCGACATATCGAAATTTTCATCTCTTTTTTTTTTGTCGGGTGGAAGGAAGGGTACAAAAAATGTCTGGGCAAATATTTCACTATCTCTCCCGGCTCCGAAGATATGGGCTAAATTAGAATGCCTTGGAATGTAATCTCCGTCGACCTTGAGTAGATTTTATGCGTTATAATTCAATAGAGTTATGAATTCACGCACTAATGGTGGAGTACTCTGGAATTTCACTTGCATTCCCTCGAATGAATTGACTCTTTTGTTCTTTATTTTTAATTCACTGAGTGATATCTGCGTTATTAGAGTGCCCGTCGGTAGTCGTGTGTATGTGTGTGCGTGTGTAATAATGGACTGACAGCCAACTGTCATTCACAGAGAGCCAGCTTAAATGCCTGGAAATACCGCCGAGACCCACGTGAAACTATTTATTTATTCATTCATTCATTTATCTTTCGCTCAAATTATCTTTTTCCACACGCTTGTGGGCATCGCGTTGATTCTTATTACAAAATTCTTGAAATTCGATATAAAACACTGCAGCAACTCTGATCGAATAATATTTAATTGATTGATAGAAAAGACACAACGAAAAGTCAATCTCTAGGTGGAATTTAGGCAAAATTTATTACAATTCCACGTTCAATTTCCCAATTTTTCTTGAATTCTTATAATTTTTCTAAATTTTTCCGATATTAGATCCAAGTTTTTTTTATTTTTATTTTTGGAGGAAATTGATAAAAATATTCAGAGTTCTCTTAAGCATTGAAGCGAAAATTTTCACCAGTGCAAAATTCTCCCTTCAGTAAAGTGACTTGCGATAAACTGGCCACCGTGTCGCTTTTTTTTACTTCTCGTCATCTCACTCCGGCAGTTCAACTCTCCCTCTTACTTACTCGTACTTTGGATGCATGTGTGCTTCGTTAGTGCTGTAAATTACGAATGGCAGAGGTAAACGCCCCGCTTTACCCGCAAATTACTCGACTATTTTGCAATGCTCCTTTTCTCATTCAAATTCTTGGTGATAATCTCTCTAATGCGGGTGGGTTTTCGCACTCTGATGGTGGTTTCACAACTCGTGATGCTGTCGTGGCTTTCCCATTGAAAAATTCTCAATTTTATTTATTAATTCTAATTATTAACATTATCTGAAGCATTAATAGCGCTGCACAAGAAATATAATTTTTTAAATATCTAAAAAATGAGGTAAATCCAATTTCAGTGAAAAATAAATTAAAATTCTCTCCGGAATTCCTCTGGAAATCCAGAGGAATTTATTCAAGAATGTAGAACTGTTGATTGAATTGATTAATTAGTCTCTCGGAAAGAATTCAAATGATCAGAATTGCAACAAGAGGAAGGGCAATTTTCCTGCTCTATCTCCGTTTCGTCAATTGTTATAAGAATTTCGCCATGGAATTCGCAATAAAGTCTTACGGTATTATAATAGACGATAAGGCAATCATAGACATTCTTTGTGAGTCATTCAAAAGTCCATATCACGAGCGATTAAACATAATCTCCTTGCGCTCAGTGACTCGACGATGATTACACATTTTTTTAGGATTGTTTGCGATGTTTTGCCCTCTATGTCATACGTTTAATTGAAATAATGAAATCAATTGTGACAGCGGTATCAGCTGATGTCATTAGATGGTTGGACTTTCAATAATTCATTTTTTCAATCCATTTTTTAATGGAGATAATCTCGAGGACTTTAGGATTGTCTGAGAACCCATTGTCTTCTGGGGATTGTGTAGAGCACTTGCAAGGATGCTAGGATTGCAAGGATGCACTATCGTTGAGGGATTATTGTTTTTTGACTTCCAGTTTTATTTCTCCCTGTTTTTTTTTTATTTTATTTTTTTTTTCATTTTTTTATCTTCAATGCTGGAGTCACGCCCGCAGACTCCACTGGTAAAGCAGTTCAGTTTCGCGATAAGGTGCTGTGATAAGATAGGAAATTTGTGCTACAGCTGGGTCAGGGAGAGAGACTGTTAAAGATCCTTTGTTCAAGGTTTTTTTAAACAATTTTTCGACTTCTCTCGAAGTGTTCAACGCATATTAATTCCATAATTGGAAAAACTCCAGAAGATTTTCTGTCAATTCCGGGGTTTTTTAAAAATTTACATTTTTCTTTTTGGAAATTGTTCGTTTCCCAATTTTCTTTCCAATTCCATGAAGAATTTTTTAATGACTGAGGGTAATTGAACTGGAATTGAGTTCTCACAGATTCTTGGTGTGCCCTAATTATTTAAAAATGAAATTGTTGAACTGTTTATGGTATTCGCGTTTCTTGCATTAATAAATATCAATTATGATTCACTCGAGTTTACTCGGTCGCTGTCGGACGCTATTGGAATTGAAATCAAGTTTAGAAACATCAATGCCCCTTGGCTAGCGAGGAATTCCTAAACTGTCATCTCCAGATATCTTTTTTTTGTGCTCTCGTCTTTGGCGTCGCTGTGTCCGGCCGCCATCCGCGCACCTCCATACCCATGACTCCGAGTCAGTGAGGCATGAGTCACTCGCCATGAAGATGACCTAAAGCAATTTTCAAAATCAAATTCATTTCTTTGTCGAGAAATTTCATATGAATTTGATAAATATCAGTTTTCCTTGAAATCGATAAATTTCGACATATTATGAAAATCCATTAAATAAAATACTAATTATTTTAACGAGAACAATTTCAATCATAAATGTAAATTATGAGTTATGATGAAATCGATGGCCATTGCATAATCGAGAATAATCAATCAATTATCTCGTGATTTTCTGTCGGGAAAAACAGATTAATGAGTTCTCGATTATCGATAAATCACAATGTTATTCGGTGAATAATCTCAGCCTTCAATGGTCTTGATAACCAATGATTACTTAAAGAAAAAAAAATAAATAAACCGATAGAGTGACTCGCGATTTTCAGAGCGAGAAAGGATGTCATTCATCTTCCAAAAAAAAGACGGACCTCAAAACATCAATTGTCCGCTCCACTCGGAATGATCTCCTAAAAATTTGAATGCCCCGTCTGACGAAGATTTATCGCTGTGGTACGATAATTGCATGAATTTGTTGGAGATGAAAATGGAAGGTGGTAGTAACAACGATATTGTAAAGGCACCGAGGGGCTATTTCGATTACAAACGTGTAGGGTGCGGAAGATCTCATCTCCACTCGAGATGAAATTGCCTGGATCGTTTGAATACCCATTATCTCCCCCATTGTCTACTCGAAGCTGCTGTGCACTCGAATCTAATTCGAATTACAATTAATTCGGATCCAAGGTCAATTACAGCGCCATCAGGCCCTCCAGCTGCTGATTTCATCTCCTCCCTTTCCTCAAACTCCCAATTTTTACACAAAAAAAAAGTCATTTCATTCAACTCCCAATAGCGATAAATAATTAATCATTCATTCAACATTTATACATCAATAATTAACCATTTACCATTTAATTACTGAATCTTCATTATTTCAGTCTTGGGCTCGAGTCAAGACTTTGGAATTTTTATTACGTTTAGAAATTTTTTGAAACAGTATGAATAATAATAATGATAATAATAATAATAGCAATTATTTGAGGTATTATAATTTGTTATTGATTAGTGGATAAATTGTTTATTTAATGGATAAATTTTGCATCGGTTATTTTTCACAAACAATTTTGCTGTGTCAGCCCTCGACAAAGGCCACGCACTCGTATTTATTTCGCAATAATGAGAGAACGGAGAGGGTGATATTTGCAGTTTTAATTTCGCTGAAGGAATTCTAAAAACGCCTGAATCAACGGAATTGCTGTTTTCAATTTAATTATTGTGTGTGGTAATACCTGTGGAATCCATATATGTGGGACATGATAAGATATGCTCAATTAATTTAAGGCACATCTATTTTTTACGTGTCTTGCGCACTTGATCAAATAATTCTCCGGGTAATCGAATAGTTAAAATCCTGTAAGAAATTTGATAATCGGTTGGAAATATTTCCTGAGGGAACGGTGCGGATTCGTTGTTGAAATTGAGAAATGATTGAGACATTTAAAAAATGGGGTGATTGTGGATCAACCGAACAATCGAAAGGAATTCCAGTGTCTTATGACGAAAATTGAGATCGATGATGCACTGAATGCACTAGGAGATGGAAAAAGGGGGTAAGCGGTGAATCGATATCGACACTGGCATTGCATTTCACGCGGGAATTGATGCGGGGGCATGACGCCACTATTGCATGCCAGAGGCAGTTGATGAGAAGAAAATTGATCGGGCATACAAACGCCGACGCGCCCGGGAGATAACGCATGCGGCATTACATTGAGC